ATCTTTATTTAGCACTAAGAGAAAAGAGATCATGGAATTTTCGATCTCCAATATCGAACTGTTTGCCTGGACACCGTACCATATGCCTGGAATTGACCTAAACTTCATCTGCCATCAACTTAACATTAACCCTATCACTAGACCAATTATACAGCGGGCTCGCAGATCAGCATTACACCACTCTGAAATAGTGGCTGAAGAAGTGGGAACCTACTAGAAGCAGGAGCAATCAAATAGTTTTCACTATCCCAAGTGGATCTCCAACACCGTGATGGTGCCCAAAAAGAACATGAAATCGTGTGTTTATGTGGACTATAAAACGGTTAACAAAGTGTGCCTAAAAGATAGTTTTCCTCTACCAAGGATAGACCAACTGGTGGACCTAAATGCAGGCCATAACTGACTTAGCTTTCTTGATGCGTATCATGAATACCATCAGATTGTTCTGTATGAACCGGACCAAGATGTCACATCTTTCATAACTCCTAGTGGGTTGTATTGCTATAAGGCCATGCCATGCCCTTTGGCCTAAAAAATGCAGGGGCAACGTTTCAGCGAATGGCCATTGAAATGTTCAAACCATTATTAGGCAAATCTATGGAGGCTTACATTAACGACATGGTGGTCAAAAGTAAGAATGAAGCAGACCATCTCAACGACCAAGCTGAGATGTTTCAAATCTTCAAGACCCACAAACTGTGACTAAACGCCTGCAAGTATGCATTCGACGTGGGATCCGGCAAGTTTCTCGGCTTTCTAATAACCAACAGCTGTATAAAAGCAGATCCCTCCCAACTACAGGCCATTCAAGAGCTCAAAAGACCTAACACGGTCACGGAATTGCAACACTTGACAGGCCTAGTTGCCGCATTAAACTGATTTATAAGTCGATCGTCTAACAGATATCGACCATTCTTCCGGGCGCTTAGAGAAAAATTTGACTGGGATGAAGAATGTGACTGAGGTTTGGAGAGCTTGAAGGAATATTTGACCTCTCTACCACTGTTAAGAACCCCAGTGCCTGGATAGGAACTTTACTTATACTTGGCAATTTCTCAGCATGCAGTTAGCGAGGTGTTGGTACGCATAGTACCTGCCGTTAGAGAAGCTTGCTTTAGCTTTAATGATGGCTTCAAGAAAGCTGCCACACTATTTCCATGCACATGCTGTCGTCATATTAACGATATTTCCTCTAAAAGCCTTGTTTGAAATGGTAGACTTCTCTCGAAGAATACTAAAGTGGGTAGTCGTATTAGGACAGTTCGACATCAAATTCCAACCTAGAACGGCAATAAAGGCCTAAGCTTTGGCAAACTTTATGGCAGAGTTTGCACCAAGAAGTCACTCTATTTGTCCGGTTGACTTGACAGAGGAAACCGAACAAAGGAGGGAGAGTGCCGCGGGAAAAACTCATTCCTCAGAGCGAGCTGATCAACCGCATAATATGCCATTAAGCCTAATAGTGGCTGCACCGTCCACTGAGGCCAACAACGTGTTGCCAAAGGGAAAAAGTGCAAGCCGCGCAACTACATGCACAATTTGCGAGGACATGCCTGAAAGGGAAATGGTAAGGCGATGGAGCAATGAGGTTAACATCCAAACAGGGAACAAAAACTTCGAAGAAATCACTGAGGCCCTAGACCCTAAAACATCTTCAGATCCTTTCACATACTGGAAGTTGTTTGTGGGAGAGATGTGGAAGCTCTTTGTAAATGGCGCATCCAACAGACATGGCGCTGGATTTGGGATAGTCCTCATCTCTCCAGATGGATTGACCGTTGAACAAGCAATCACACTTGGATTTTCAGCATCCAATAATGAAGCAGAGGACGAAGCACTATTAGCTAGTTCGAAGTCAGCCTACCGGATAAAGGCCATTGAGCTAATGGTGTACAGCAACTCCCAATTGGTGGTCAACCAAATATCTGGTGACTATGAAGCAAAGGATGATAGAATGGCCAAGTATCAGGAGCTGGTCAAAAACGAGATCATGAAATTCAAAGTCGTGAGGATAGAACAAATTGGCCGAGAGGAAAATAGCAAGGCAGATGAACTAGAAGGGGCCATACAAGATTGGAAATTGGGTACTGCGCAAAGTGATAGGAAATACTTTGGTGCCTGGTGATGGCAAATTAGGACCCAACTGGGAGGGGCCATACAAAGTGGTAGGATTAGTAGGAAAAGGAGCTTACCACTTAGAAAATGTATACGGCCGAGCTATCCCAAGGCCATGGAATATTGCCAATCTTAAGATAATTTATTTTTAGTAATTATAATATTCCTATTTTTTTGTTTGGTATTTAATAAACAAATAGACAATTTTTTGCTGAAAAGTTTTCAATACTTGTATTTATTTCGATCTGTATGTAAAAAAATCTTTACACAATTTGGGGCAAAGTGGGTTGGCAAGTTTGACCAACTTTTTTGATTCCTTTGACCGAGATGGTTATCTCGGCCAAAGTAGGTTAGCAGGTTTGACGAACTCTTTCCTTAAATCCTTGATCGAGATAATTATCTCAGCCAAAGTAGGTTAGAGGTTTAACTAACTTTTTTTATTCCTTTGATCGGGATGGTTATCTCGACCAAAGTAAGTTGGTAGATTTGGCCAACATTTTGGAAGTCTTTGGCCGGACAGTTATATCGGCCAAAGTAGGTTGGCAAGTTTGACCAACACATTTTGGAAGTCTTTGGCCAGATAGTTATCTCTGCTAAAGTAGATTGGCAGGTTCGACTAACAGGTTTTTAAGACTCTTTGACCGAGATGGTTATCTCGGCCAAAGAAGATTGACAAGTTTGACCAACAAATTTTAAAGTTTTTGGCTGAATGGTCATCTCGGCCAAAGAAGGTTGTTAAGTTCGACCACCAAAATTTTGAAGTTCTTCGACCAAGATGGTTATCTCAGCGGAAGAAGGTTGGCAAGATTGACAAGGATCGAGTTGTCTAACTCGCAGAGCATGCAAAGCCCAATAAACTAAATTGAAGAACTTCCAGATTTGAAGCTTGAATCGATTTTTAGCTTGAATCGATTTTTAGATGGAGGAAATGCCTCTTAGCGTGATTGCGAGCACACTAGACCGAAGATTTTCTTTGATATAAGGCAGCAATAAACGAGTTGAAAAGTTTGGGGGTTCTAGAGCTAAGGCTTGCAATGGAAGAAGATGAACAGTGAATATGTATCGGCAAGTATATGAATATATATATATATATGTGTATGAAAAGTGAAAGGGTGCGGTCTTTTCAAATTTTTGATGGTGTATGACGGCTTTAATAGAGGTACGGGGCCACTAGAGTCATGCCACATATCCCATGATTGAAATGGTGCCAAAATGACAAGCGAATGTGTTGGGCAACTAAGAAGACTCCTGGGAACCAAGCAAATCGAAGGGACCGAGCAACGTTATTGGTTCCGTTGACTTAAGTATTTCTAGCTCAGTTGGAGGAATATAATCACAATCATGCTCTATAGATGGAATTAAAGAGCAATTGCGAGGGTAATGTCTGTTAAGAAATTGGGCTGAACTAGGTAGCAGTGCTTGTAGAAGTTAGGCCGCATAGTGGGCTGAGAAAAGAGCTCAGGTAGCTCGGTCCTGGGTAGATTAGATGATAGGCTGGTCAGTGAGTTTAGGACTAGCTGATAGAAGATGGTCGTATGAAAAAGGTCGAGCTAACTTTAGCTCAGCTCAACCCATCTGATGGTCAAGGACTGCACGGTTTGGTCAATGATAGACCGGTGTAATGTAGTTTGGCCGGATATTTACAGCCGAACATAGTGTTGTTGCCATCTCACTTGGCTTGCAGTGAGAAAAGTGTTTTAAGGATAAGCATTATCCTTTAAGAATGTGATTCCTAGGAGGACTCTGTTAAGAGAAGTAGAGTCCTACTAGGATGGTGCCATGCGAAATCTATAAAAGCTCATGACATAAGTTATTTCCAAGTATTGCAATTCATACTCCTGAATTCACAAAGCTTTTTCCTCTTTAGTCTATTTGCTGACTTAGGCATCGGAGAAGTTTCCGACACACACCCGCCGGCTAGCTCACATTTGTGTTTTCATGTGATAAACGATGATGTTTGGGGGAGTGCAAACTTGATCAATAGGATTATACGAGAACAATTATTTCGTGCTCGTATAATTATCATGGATCAAACTTTCCACACGAAAGAGCAAACAAGTAGGACATGATTTGGAGTTTCCTCCACAAATTTGCAAAGCACACAAGATAAGCCCATATATTGCCTGTTTAGTAGAGCTTATTTTCATCTTAAATCCACTTATAGCTTAAAATAAGTGATTTTGGGGTGTTTGATATAACTTTTAAGAGATGGATTATAGCTTATTTTAAGTGATTTTCAACTTAAATCTCTAGGCTGGCTAAGAGGTGCTTACAGAAACAGCTTAAGCGGACAGCTAAGTTTTGAGGGGCATAATGACTTAAATGCCCCTTATATACTTCAAATATTACCAAAAAACTAATATATAAATCCACAACCATACACTGTTCACTTCCTCAGGGAAAGATAGAGTGAGAGGCGATTTCTGGTGGCATGAGACCACATCACGATCTCTCTCTCTCTCTCTCTCTCTCTCTCAAACTGCCCCTCGAATATATATATATATATATATGCCTCATTCTAGAACCAAACCCTAACCCTCTCTCTCACTCTCTCTCTCTCTCTCTCTCTCTCTCTCTCTCTCTGTTCACAATTTGAACCGCAACCCATTCCTCTACCTCGCCTGCACTGCGATTGTCGCCTCTGTCACCACCACACCTCTGTCGCCTCTTTCCCACATTCTCCACCAGGCGAGAATGCAACACAGACCTAGATCTCCCCTTCCCGTTGCTCTCACCGACTGTTGTTTCCGGTTGCGTCTCAAGAGACCACCCCACTATTGCAAACCATCGCCCGCCGCGTCGTAGTAACCCATTGTTGCTTTGTCGCCATCGCTAAGCTTGTCTCTCTCTCTCTCTCATGATTTGAAACCACGTCACGATCTAAAATGGTGATGATGATGACAATCGACGGCATGACGATCTTGCAGAACACCGGCGGTGGCTACGGTTTTGCAATTTATGTCCATTAAATAAATTGCTCTCTCTCTCTCATGATCTGAAACCACGTCATGATCTAAAACGGTGATGATGATGACAATCGACGGCATGACGATCTTGCAGAACACCGGCGGTGGCTACGGTTTTGCAATTTATGTCCATTAAATAAATTGCACAATTTATTTCACAATTAATATTGGTATAAATTGCACAATTGCACAATTTAAATAAAGAAATAAATTGCACAATTTATTTCAATTAATATTGATATAAATTTATTTCAATTAAATAACTTCTATTAAAAGAATTATGAATTGATATAAAACTCTTTGGTATTGTAATAAAAAAATAAATAACAATTTTTTTCTAATTGAGATTAATGAAAAAAAATGAAATAACTTTTATTAAATGAAATTTAAAAAAAAAATGAAATAACAATTATTGTAATGAAATGTATCAATTTTTATATTAATTGATACTAATTATATTAACTTTCATTAATGAAACAATTTTTTTTTTAAAATTAAAACTGAAGAAAATGAAAAAATAATAATTTTCATATCTTATAAGGGCAAAAAAGACATTACACAGCAAAAAGTTATTTTACAGCTTATTCAACCAAACACTATTCTGTTGATTAAATCAATAATCCCACAACTGCATCAAACATGTTAACAGCTTATATTTAAAATTATAATCTATAATTTATTAAGTCATAATCTATAATCACTTTTCCACAATTTCACCAAACAATGCCAAAATCCCTCAGAACTCCAATTCTATGTGTGTGCGCGCAAAAAAAAAAAAAAAAATAAAAAAATAAAATGAGTCACATTGCTTTGTATCTAAAGTGAAAAGTAAAGTAAGAAATGAAATTATGTATAATATTACTATTAGAATTTGATTTTTTTTCCAGATTGGATAGTTTAATTACTCGAGAAGCCCAATCCAATATAGTATTATGTGTGTAATTTCAACATGCAAGTACGTTGAATGCATAATTTAAGAAAAACAATTCATAAATAGAAAATTTATACATAATTTTACATGAAAATGATGTAATACTAACTTTCTCAAAAGGATTGAACTCTGAACTGGGCGTCTTGATCTTTGCCTTATTGACACTAATTTTTTTTATATTTATAGTTTAGATTTTGTCCGTTTATTTACAAAAGGTGCCGATGTGGCAAAATCTAGAGGCCAAACTTTTCTTTCCAGTCCATTCCAGCACTGGCAATAGGGTTGGTTGTAGTGTCATATTGGGTAATATTCATGTTGTATCATTTTGAGCCTATTTATTATTTTGTATTATCGTGTCATATCATTTTCGATCTATATCTAATTTGTGTGTGTGAACATGGCATATCAAAAAATTTCACAATTAGCTAAAAATATCAATCTTTACAACCTAATTTAATTCAACCAATCACTATTGAATAAATTATTTATAAAAAATATTTGATTTCAACTCAATTTTATTTTCTTAATTTACAAAAACTATATCATGTTATAATATTTTCTTACTAGATTAACTCAAATAGTAGGGGAAAAAATGCATTATCTTCAATTAAAAGCAAAAACAAACCTTATATTTGCCTTAAAATTCTTTTACATATTTTTTTTTTAATACGTTAGATGGAATTACATTAAAATAAAAAGAAAAAATTAGAAATGTCATGGCACCTTGAGTGAAAATAATATCAAAATATATAACTAATTATTATTCATTATACGATTTATCCGTATTAACTTTGTGTTATGCAGATTCAACATCAACCCGACTTATTTAATATTTATATTATTAAATCATGTCATATATGTCGAATAAAAAACAAAAAAACAAAAGAGATCATGTCATATACGTGTTTGTGTCAAGAAATGATAAACCATAACCCACTAATTTCGTATATGGTTTGAATCGTGTTAAAAATTCCCCCACTTTATTGGCATGAAGTTATTCCCTTCTTAAAAATATATAATTAAATCATATCAATAAAGTTAATAGTTTTAAATGATAGGAAGCACAGAAGCTAGTCTACCTTATTTTGTGTAAATTTTGAAGACCAAATTGAACATGTAACTCAAAATGCTAGTCCTAATGTCTGTGATGTGAACCATGCATAGATCCTGGAAAATGGCAATAAACAAAAACAAGAGGGGGAGGCAAGTAGCAAGAAGGTGAGGCTTGCAGACTACTTTGATGTAATCGCAGGAACAAGTGCAGGGGCACTTATCACATCTTTGCTTGCTTTACCTGAATCAATTGAAATTGATGCTTCAAAACAAATTGTTGGCCAATTACCACGACCTCGCACTGCAGAAGAAATTACTGAATTGCTCTGTGACAAAGGCCCTATAATCTTCGAAAAGGAAACTTCCAAACAAGTCGCCGGCACAACAACCAGGTAAAAATCAAAGTGCTGGGAGGGATAGTTTCTAGTCCACATTTTTTGTGGATGGAATTGCGTAGTTTTGGTTCGTGGGTTCATCACATATTTCACTTCTACAATTCAAGTTAAATTTTTGAGTCTAAATCATTTATTAAAAAAATCATATTGATCTTATAATTTCAACCACTTAATTTCATCATATTTTTCTTTAAAAAAATTCGTCCATTACTTTAGAGACAAAATATAATTTTTTTTTTTATTTAATTTTTATATATATATAACTGATCCACACGCCAAGACCTATAAAAGGAACAAACCAATTCATCCAAGAACTTAAATTACTTTATCCAATCCACAAGAATGGACCGGAGACAATCTATTCTAAAAAATTTGTGTTTTTTTTTTTTTTAAGTAATCAAACCAACAAGGCGGCTCTGGATTTCGTCGACCGATTTAAAAAAAAGTGCCACGACATCTTGGAAAGTGCCGGGAAGAAAGTAGAAGCTGCAATAAAGGCAGCGGTTGACACAGTTTACACTGGGGAACATCTTAATGAGGTTGCTGGGGAACTGTTGGGAAAAGATACTCTGTTAAAGGACCTATCAACCAATATTGTCATCCCAACTTATGACGTCAATAAACTTCGTCCAGTTGTCTTCACTACCCGACTAGTATGTCTCTCTATCTCTCTACGTAAAGCACAACAGTCAATCAAGTTCCGCTCTCTCTACTTATTTACCAACATATAATTGTTGATAAAATTTTAAAAAAAAAATTCTCAAAGTTTGAGTCTTTTAATAAAAGATTTTGTAAATTTTTAATTTTGATAGTTTTAAGCTTAATCTTTTGATTTCTTTTTTAATTTAAATCATTTACATATTTTTGTTAAGTAAAACTAACAAAAACGTGACATTTTAGCCATTATATTCAATTTAGCTATACCAAAAAATATCCAAAAAATATATTTTTTTAATTGAGTTTAATGACAAATTATAATATGGACCTTTGGATGATATTTACTATACATATTACAATATATTATAATAATAATACAACACAAAAACGGCTATTTTCGTTTCTTACTAGAAATGACAAATATCACTATCGGTTTCTCAAATCTAAACTCTCTATAAAGTATTTATTTTGATTTATTAATGATTTTACCAAAATAAAAATTTTAATTTTAACAAATTAATTAGCCTAGTTGAAGAAGAAGAAAAAAAAAACTCAATTTTTTTGGTAATTGAACCTAGCTCGAGTTTAATTTATTATGGCAATTTGGGTTGGAGGCCATATCTAGGTGGATCGGAGCTACTCTCAGCAAAATTGAAGTCGAGCCTCCTAATTGTGATTTTGTTATTTTGACATTTTATTCACCATTCATTAACAATGCAACTGTGTTTAGTTATGGGAAATTGACTAATTATATATTTAAAAAATACAGGCTAAGGAACAAAATTCAAAGATAACATTGAGGGATATAGTTGTGAGCTCAGCTTCTGCTCCATATTTTTTCCCTCCCAAAAAATTTGAAGCCGATGGAGAACAGTACAATCTCGTTGATGGTGGCCTCTTCGCTAACAATCCTGTAACATCCCTCACTCTCTCTCTTCTTCTTTTTTCCTTTTGGTTAATTATAGTGTGCCCTTTTATGTTTTGTAATTTTTTTACTTTGCCTTTTATAGTTTTTTTTCTTTTTTTCACTTTAACCCTTCATATTAAAGTTTTTTCTAATTTACTTTAAAAACTAAATTATGTTCAAAATTATATATAAAATGTTAACTGTCACATAATATAAAAATATATTACTTTAAATTAGGATTTCGGTTTGTGTCAAATGTGAGTTATATATAATAAAATATTTTTATGTTACATGACTATCAATATGGTATTTTTTGTCTAATTTTGGATATAAGTTAACTTTTGGAATAACTTTAAAAAACTAAATTTTAAGGGTCAATTAATGAAAAAATTTCCAAAACAAAAAGGCGGCAAAGAGCAATATACCCTATTTTTTTTATGCGGTTAATTTCATTAATGGTCGACAAAGTATAGGTTTTATTACACATTACTCCCAAAACTCTAAAATTATTCCATTTTCATCTCTAAAATTTACAATATGCTACACTTTAGTTCTTAGGGTAATTACACTGACACCCCCTGAGATTTTTGTTTAATACAGATTCTCCTTTTATGTTTGAAAAATTACATTCCCCTCCCTGAAGTTTGTAATCTCATTATAAATTGTTTTCTAAATTGCTGATGTCATATCTTAAAATTTTCTAAACAATTATTTTGCTCTTTTTCCTACCATTTCTTCTTCCTATCATCATGACTACGTTCTACAAATTTTCATCATTAAATTCTACCTAAACATATTATTATTGTGTAATGATATACAAATATAAATTTTATATAAAACATAATGATATAGTTTAATGATGAACTTTTTACTTTAAAACAAAACACACATAAACATAATTTATATTTACAATATCACTATCACAACATTTTTATGATATTTTTATATAAATTTTTATACATGAATAGAATTTTTTATTTTTATTTCCACCATCATTTTTCTTTCTCATCTATCCACCCACATTTATTACAGTATTACCAAACATTGCCATTCACATTTATTATAGTATTATATAATTTTATATATTTATAGTTTTCTTGTATTTGGTGAATTTAAAAGAAAAAAAAACACACACACACACACAAAAAAAAAAAACACAAAATATTATACTTTTTAAGTATATCTAGATTAGGTGTATCTAAAAAATTTAAAAAACTGCTTAAAATATAAAAAAAAATTCTGCAAAAATAAAAAAATAAAAAGCCATAAAAATATTTTTAAAAAATTCAATTTTGTATGTGAGTTAAACCAAATAAGATGATTATTATTTTTCTTGAAATGACATGAACAAAATATCAACATTATTTTATTATTTTATATGTATAAATACTAAGGGACAAATATGTCATTTTAGTTTGACATGGGGATAAGTATAATTTTTCAAACATGGTGGAATGATATGTATTAAACAGAATCTCAGAGGGTGTGTAATTTACCCTAGTTCTTAATATAAACATCGTTTAAAATCAATAAATAAGAGGAGTAATGTTTTTGAAATTTTATAAGAAGCATAAACAAAATTAAATTGACAAAATACACACATAATTTAGGAGACTTACGTGTAAGTCCTAATAGGTAGACTTATTATTCAATAGGTTCTATAATAATTAATGGCATTTTTATCAAACAATATTAAAAAATATTACTAATTGTTAATTTTCAACTATAGTTTTAAAATTTTGTCACAAAAAATGTTAGTAATTATAAGTTTTAGCAATAGATTACAAAAATTATTACAAAAAAAAAAGCAACTAATTTTCAACTTTTAGTGACAATTTGAAAATTTTGTCATAGAAAAACACATCACTAATTGTAAGTTTTAGCCACAATTTATAAACCGTGACAAAAGAAAGTCACTAATTGTCAATTTTTAACGACATATGCAAAAACTAGCTACAAAAAATTATTTTTAGCGACGATCTTAGTTAAACTTATTTTCAATAGGACTTGATAGAAATTAAATCTAACTATTAAAACTTATTGGTAATTTACCCCATAGTTTATACGTATGTAGTTTGTAGTGATTCTTAAAACATGCATGTTGTTTCATTTTAATCTCTAAAATATGCATTTTCTTATAATTTTTTTTTCCTAATCTTTCAATTTTGTTACATTTTTTTTCCTGAAAAATTATAACATATATATGCATCTTCCTATTATTGATTTTGAAAAATGTTGATGCTATGGACTGAAGTTAAATAAAAAGTGGAACAATTAAATGATTGGAGACTAAAATATAATTCGGAGGAGTAATTATTGGATACTCCCGAAACACATCATGTGACATTGTTCAAGTGGGGGTTCAAACTAATAACGTAGTAAAAAAATCTTAAAGGTGGGACATAATGACTTACCTTTGTTAGGAAGTTAGAATATCACTTCGTGTAAGTTGTAGTTTTTCATTGGTCAGGAATAATCACGTAGACAACGGTACATGATAATCTAGAGATAATGGAGATATTGTTGTCCTTAAAAGCACAACAGGCAGCTATGCCCCCTTATGGGAGTTGGTATAGGGTCTATTTTAGTGATCCGAACCTTCATATTGTAAAGATCCATCAAATAGAGCATTCATGGCAAAAATCAAGTTAATCAAACATTCATAACCACGTGATCATAGCCTTAAAAATAAATAATTTATTACTTCTTATTTTTTGAAAACAAATGTGATATCATTATATGGTTACAAATATATAATTGATTTGATTTTTTTTTTTTGAATAATCTACTTGATGAATTATACAACATGAACAATTTAAATCTTCCACGATCGGTATCAACTCCCAAAAGGGGCATAGCAACCTACTATGCCTTTAAGACACAACAATATCACCTTGTCCTACTCTAGAACTATCTAATGATTTTTCCGCAAAACAACCCTTTGGCCACAACTTGGCGACATTTTTATGATTATTGCAAAAAAAAATTTAACAACAAAATTTTAACTTGGTGACAATTTTATACGTTGAGAAAAATGATTTTGTCTTGTAGTATACTTTGGAGACCATTTATGTAATTAATTTTATTATTTTATCTAATTTTTGGTGTAATGGCTCACTATATGTGGATGTGGGTGGGTGTAGACAATGTTAGCCATAAGAGAAGCAAGCAAGTTGTTTCCAGAAGCAGGGGACTACAGTAATTATCTAATACTATCACTTGGAACTGGAAAGGAAAAGCTTTCGGGTGATAGGACTATTCTAACTGGTGGAATCGTTGATTGGCTCATTGGTTTAGAAGCCATTGTTGCTCTCAAGATCAAAACGCCGCCGTTAGTGGATGTCTTTTTTAGAGTCTCAGAGGATGTTGCAGATATCATGACTTCTCACACCCTTGGCGAACGTAATCTCCGTCGCAATTACCTCCGAATCCAGGTACACCTACCCCTCTCTCTCTCTCTCTCTCTCTCTCCAATAAATATTGAATGCAACTATTACAACATCCTATATAATACGTATAGGACGGACTCGGGCTTTTGACATAGACGGAACGAACATATATACTAATTAATATGAACTAAAATAATAATTTTTACTTATATAAAAGGTGAAAAATAACATGAAAATATATATAAATAACTATGTTTTCTTGTATTCATATTGAGTTATAAAAGATAATAACTGTGAAATAATCTATTTATTAAAGTAAAGTATGCTCAACGATCTTTCATGTTATTTATGACATCTATGATAGGATTGAATTAAAAACACAAATTATGTATTTCTCAATAAATTTTATCAAGTCACTTGTCGAATCTTTCTCCACCATCTTCTTTTATTGCAAGTTAATACTTATAGTTGATACTGAATATGAGAAACTTTTTTTAGTGTGTTAAATTGTTCAAAACCAACTCATGTTCCATAAATATAGTGGAGTGGCCACTTAAATTTTTTCAAAACCTAAGAGGAATAACCACTTAAAAGTTTTACAAAAACATAGGGGTGAGCCCATACAATTTGGAGATAATTATTAACTAAAACTACTATCGTAAAAGCTTTTTGAAATCGTAGGAGGGGGGCGATCGACCCCTCCTGGTTCATCAATATTGAATAGGGATAATTCATAATAAAATAAAATAAAATAAAGGGATATTTATACACAAGTCTTAATTTATGAATTTATATTCCATTAAGTTCTAACTAAAAAAATTTAGATCTTTTAAGTCTCATTAAATTTTTAATAGTCGGAATTGTCTTTCAAATAATGATTGTTCATTATTTATGATTATATATAATAGAACATGATGATTTAACATTTATTTTAATTTTTAAAACTTTAAAATATCTACTTTCAAATTGGTAAAAACTTTAAATATATATATATATATATATATATATATATATATATGTGTGTGTGTGTGTGTGTGTGTGTGTGCGCAAATTAAAAAAAAAAAAAAAACTATATTTTTTTTAAAAAATTGAAAAAAAATGAATTATTTTTTGTGCAAAACTGAAAATTTTGTACCTATAAATAAGGATGATGATAGAACATTGATGTGCAAACTGGAAAAAGAAAAAACAAAAACAAAAACAAACTTTAAAAATGAAAAAAATGATAATGTTCTCAGTTTTAAAACTGGAAAAACTAGTGTTCTCGGCTTTGTTGAATAGATGAATCATACCGATAAGTAGAATGGCAAAAAAATTTAATCTCATACTCTCTTTTTTTTTTATCAATTAGTGAAACGATTATCTCGAACATTACTATGCAAAATTGATAATGTTATTAGTTTTTTAAAATTGGGAAAAACTAACAATATTTTCAATTTTACTAAATAAGACTTATTAGTTCAAAAAATCTTAAATAAGATCTGAGTTACTACAATATTTGTAAATAGGACTTTTAGATAATTAACTCTAAAATAAATGTTCACACTTATGGGCATATATTAATAATTATTTTTTTTATTGATAAGTACATATTTAGTGAAATTATTTAACAAATTATTATTTTGATGGAATTTTTTTTTTTTAAAAATTTCACCCCATTGCCGCTAGCCGACTGCGGAACCATTGGTGGACCGCCACCAGACCACTGTAGGATCATTGTCAAATCGCCGTATTATTAGTCAATACAAAATAGGGCATATGGCAAATTACACCATTAATTTTTTTTCATTTTGTTTTTTATATCATTTTAGTTCTTACACTTTTAATTAGATCAAATTTAATTTTTAATTTTAGATTTTGTATCAATTTGATCTAGTTGATAACGTTACGATTTTTTAAGAAAAATAATTACGAAATTGATTAAGGTTAACTTATTGAGTTTAGTAGTTTATTTTTTTTCTCTTAAAAGTACGACATATGCCACTTATATATGTATTTTTTATTAAAAAAATGTTAACAATTATAATCAATTAGATTAAAATGAGACAATAAATAAATAGACTTAACAGGATTTTATGTTTTCATTGGCTTTATGTTTTAACAGGATTTTATGGACTCAACGAAAAATTGGTTTTATGTTTTAATTTTATATCACTACCATTTTTCAGTGAGTGAGCCAACCCTTTCTGCTAAAAAAAACCATAGAAAAACTCTATGAATACAGAATTAGAAAACAGAAATAATTATAAAGATGAAATATATGGTAAGACTTATATATATAGTTGGATTATCAATAATATTAATTCATGCATGCATAGATACTAACTATGAAATAAATGGACTCAACAGGATTACGAAATGAAGGAAGAGCATGCAGAGATGGACAACACGCATCAGGAGAACCTTGAAAACCTAAAAAAGATTGGCAATGACCTTATTTCGAGATATGTTGCAATCCCTAACTCGGAAACTGGTTTGCCTAGTGTAATATTTGAAGAAGTTGAAGAGAAAATTTCCCCCAACTTACTTCCACCAAAAAACCAAGATGAGCTCAAACGGTAAGACTCATCGTCATTCATCAACTACTACTATACAAAACATTATATGATGATCATGATCATGAATATATATTTCTAATTAATATATAATGTTAATCTTGAATTAATTACCTTGGTTTGCCAATGAGATCACCATAGATATATAAACTAGGGTAAATTATACTGATACTCCCATTTGAAAAATTATCTTACCCTCTTATCAGATTAAAATCACATATTTGCCTCTTAACCTTTATACATATAAAATAATAAAATAATGTAAATATTTTGCTCATATCATTTCAAAGAAAATAACAATTATCTTCTTTAGTTTAACTCACACAAAAATTTGAGTATTTTTTTTAAAAAAAATTGTGTTTTTTTTTATTTTTACTGAATTTTTTTAAATATTTTAAGCAATTTTTTTATTTTTTAGATATACCTAATCTAGATATACTTAAGAAGTATAATATTTTATGATTTTTTTTTAAATCGCTTAAAATATTAAATGAATTTTTTGTTGTATTCAATAGATTTTTTTAGAATTTTTTGTACAAATTTTATACTTTTTAAATATATCTAGATTAAATTGATCTAATCTAGGTATAATGGTGAAAATAAAAATGAAAAATTATATTCATATATAAAAATTTATAAAAAAAATATATATATATCATAAAACTGTTATGACAGTGATATTGTTGTAAATATAAATTATGTTTATAGGTGTTTTGTTTTAAAGTGAAAAGTCACCGTTAAGTTATATCATTGTGTTTGAAAATTGTATATAAAATTTATGTTTGTATATCATCACTCAATAAAAATATATTCAGGTAGAATTTAATGATAAAAAGTTGTAGAATGTAGTCATAATGATAGGAAGAAATGATAGAAAAAAGGATAAGATGGTTATTTAGAAAATTTTAAGATATGACATCACAATCCAAAGGGCAATTTATAATGAGATTATGAACCTCGGGAAGAAAAATTTTTCAAATATGAGGAGAGATTTGTATTAAACAAAAATCTCAAGCGAGTCAGTGTAATTTACCCTATAAACTATTAGTAATGCTACATAGTCTTAAAAAGTTATCCAAAAAAAATTGAAATACGTGGACTAAATTTAAATTTACACCACACACTTCTTTTTCCAAGTAACTTTTCCAATTTTTGTACTTGTAATTTTTTATTTTTATTTTTGTTCATTAGCTTACAAAGTCTTCGTAACTCATTGCAGTTTTGCTAAAAGACTGTACCATGAAAGGAGACGTCGTACACTATATAAGAAGTGTTTTGGCCTCATTAACAATCGATCTTTGGTGGCAATTGTGGCACTGATATGTTTTATGTTCATGGTTTGCTTTGGAGCTCGTCGTGTTGGATTCATTTGATTCAAAGAAGAAGTGTTTCTATCTCTGTAGCTACTAATGATGTTGGTTTGGTGTCAATAAGAAGTGTTGTTATTTCCTTATTTATTTATTTATTTATTATTATTATTATAAAAATAAATAAATAAAACGAGAGAGAAAGAGAGAGAAGGATAACCTCTCCATTAATTGACTGTCAAAAATTCATCTGTGTAAAAAGATATTGCTTTCTTCTAATTATGTCTTCTTATTCATGTTTATCACTTGGATATGAAAGTGTAATTGACCTTGAAGATGCTCAATTCATCAACTTAATGAAATTCAGGGATTGTTGGAATTTTTAAATAAAATTTATTTCAAAAATACAAGGTTATACAAAGTATTATTATTAATATTTTGTGATATCATCCATAACCCTTTTCTTATTATATGGATATAGGATTTAAATGGTTTATTATAACCTTTGCATGAGTTAATTGTAATGTATTGAGGCTAAGTGCAGACACTTCAGTTGACTCAATAGTCTATATAGTTGTTTTTTGCCAATCAAAAAAAAAAAAAATAGTCCATACAGTTGTTTTTTAGGACAATGGATTCAAGTTGATGGAGTGACTACGACTCTTTCGTGATAATCTAATTTACTAACCTACTAATATTTTATCATATGACCCAAAAAAAAAAGCACGCTATAATTGTTTAATAGAGTTTAAGCTGTTGGATTCCTAGTGCATTTTTCATTTTGTTAGATAGATATTTGTGTGAAAAATCTAAAAACTCTCGAGATATTGATTCATAATTATATTTCAATTTTAAACAGTGAATATCAATCACAATCAAATAATCAACAACAAATTGGCACAATAATTTCAGGTGAAAAAAATCAAAATTTGAGCACCTTCAATTGTGATAAAAAACCACGAATCAAAACCACAAAACAATCCACTAAAAAGACAAAAAGGAATTACATATGAGTACCCTCAATTACCTAACGAATCTATGCCCGAATTGAACCAAACCTAATGTGTCTCTTCCAACACTATCTTCATCTTGAAATTGTTTCGTCTAACGTTGAATCCACAACGCCGATGTCGAATCCACGATGATGAGCCATTCTGAAATCCATCGAAGAACACCTCTCTTTTTGTGAATAAAATAATAAAAACAAATCCCTTGATGATGTCAATATAAAACTCGTAAATATATCGATCACTCTTAAATCATCAAGAAAACCAATATATAAACACCCTCCAATACAAATAAATCTTGGTAGTTCTCCTTTTTGAGAATTTGGATGGGTTAAACCCTAAAAATAGCAAATAGCGCACTTTATACTAAACAAAGCCGCAAAGACCGCTCGAACGGTGTAAGTAAAAGACAGTGCAAACATATAGGCCAATCGCTCAAGTGCAACATTCACCGCTTGAGCAGTGAAACATATTTCCCAAAAATTCAATTTGTAGGCAGAGATATTAGACAATCCATTTAACTGCTCAAGCAATCAAACCACTTTGACTTTTTTTTGGCTTCTAGGACATTGCCCCTCGACCTTGCCTGGGTGCTACCCCGGACTCACTAAGGGGCGCTGCCTCCTGAATTCATACGAACTAACCAGGCAACTCGATCCTCAGACATAGTCAGCAAAATGGCAAATAAGGAATACTCAAACTACGAAATATCAGTACAAACTCCTTTACACAGGCACAATTTGGATTGAATTTACATTTAAACACTCACAGCCTTACTAAAACAAAATAGCAAATAAAATTACAACTAAAAAAATTGTCAAACGAAAATGTCAATTATAAAAACCTAACAATGTGTTATAACAATTTTACAGAAATTAATTTTTAATTAATTCTATATAAGTGATCAAATGGTTTTCCAAGTGGTGAAAGTGGCTTGCTTATATTTTGTTGGGCAAATTATACTGATAATCTCTATAGTTTGATTCTTATGATGCACCTGTTACATTATGTTGTGTTAAATATTATGTATTTTTGTGATAAATGTTACATATTTTCCTGATAGAAGTTATGACAATTTGTGATTGAAAAATAAAATCACATATATTGTAATAATGTTACGTATTTTTGTGATAGAATTATACCTTTTTTTCATCCAAGCATTTCCAACCATAAAATATGTAACAATATCACAAAACATGTAACATTATTACAAAAATGCATAATTTCATTTTTCCACCACAAATTGTTGGAACTCCTACAAGAAAAATAAGTAATATTGACGACAAAAATACATAATACATCACAAAAACACACAGTATTTCATAACATTTCTCAATTTTAAGTAGTCCATTTTATTAGTGTTTTATGAACCAAGATAACATTTGCGACAGTTGAATACCTAGCTTCCGTTATTTGACAACTAAAAATTAAACATATGAAGAATACATTATCATCCCAAATGCAAAATAAAAAGGAAAAATTACTCATAGGTCCTATATTGAAAAATGTTACTCTATCTAGTCCTGAGTGTTTTTTTATAAACCATTTAGTCCGCTTTTTACATCAGAACATCATCATCAAAACAACATCAAACATCACAACATTAATCATCAACAAAGAACAATCGATGCAAATTAAACACAACAAATTTACATAAATAAACCCTAGAATTCAAAACAGTATAGAACTATGTTCCAAAAAAACATCGATCAGATTCAAAAGCACGAAACTTTGGAGTCAATAGTCATGAATATCAACAAAACTAGGGTTTCGAGCAGATTGATCGTCAAAACCAAAGCCCTCGTGCACAATGCTACAAAAGTATGAATATGAGTTTGATTATTAATAGCAGGACAAAGAACACGATAAGAAATCGAATTGGCAGACCTAACAGCAGATTCGAGATCGAGATCAAAAACCCCCAAGGCGGTGCTCTGTTCCGAAGGTTTTGACAATGCGTATGAGTTCCAATCGGCCAAAAGAGACGATGATGAAGACGACGACAATGAAGACATCAGTGGATGCAGTTGTTGCCGATATTCCTCGCCGCCGCCGACTGAAAACCACTTCTGCATTTTCGTTTTGTTGTTGGTTTCAAGCTCTGGTTATTGATTTTCAATAACGAAGATTCAAAGAATTAAAGAGAATTGATCATGTTTGATGAATAATAATGGTAGATGAATAATGTTTGATGTTGAAGAATAATGTTTAATGTTAGAGAATAATGTTTTATTTTGATGTTTAATCGTTATTTAAAAAATTGTTTAATCGTTATTGTGATGTTGTTTTGATGATGATGGTGTGATGTTGTTTTGATGATGATATTTGATGTTATTTCGATGATGTTACTTATAAATTTGATGTTTAATGGATGATGTCTGATGAATAATCCTAATGTTTAATGGTTCAGAATTTGTGTTTGATATTTGATGAATAATCTTAATGTTTAGTGGTTGATGTTTGATGAATAATCCTGACGTTGCATGTTTGATGTTGGATGAATAATGTTTGATGTTTGAAAAGAAGAGAAATCATAAAAGAGCAAGGATCCTCTAGAGTGATTTTTTCCTAAAGTTTCCTAGAGTGCTACATTGTGTGGTTGAGATTTACTGGCAAGTCACATCAATTTTTCTGATGTGACTTGCCAGTAAATCTGAACCACACAATGTAGCACTCTAGGAAACTTTAGAGAAATTTCACTCTAGAGGATCCTTGGTGATCATAAAAAGACCTATAGTAAGCTTCTTGAGAAATAGGACCTATTAGTCCAACAAAAAATCTTCGGGACTAAATGGGTTAACATTCCCAAATTTAGGATTTATTGGTGATTTTCCCAAATAAAAAAGAGAAAAAAAAAAAACCCGTAAACTTTAAAAATACATGAAATATAATATCTATTAAAATTTGTTAGTTATTATCTCTACGGTGAACATGGTCCAAATTAATTCGATTCAAGATAAAACTAAGACCAATCTATTGCCAGCTTCATAAAAATTGAAACCAAGTCAATTCATTTAAATTATAAAACCAATCTGAATCAAACTATTTAAACATGGTTAGACTCAATTTGAAACCACAGTTTCACATAATATGTTCACAAAAAAAAATATTATATAACATTATCAAAAAAATTCAATCTATCATAAATTTTAATAATAATAATATGCCCACCAAACTAAAAACATAACATTAAACAAACATTGTTCAACATTAATTTATGATTTTTATTATGACATTAATCTAAAATGTTATGAATAATGAGCTAGTTTTATATATAAGAGGGTAAGATTGTAATGTATGGCATATGTATGGTTTAAGCTACATATGGTCCAATTTGGTTCTAATCCAAAACTGTGAACTTAAATCCAGAACCAATTTGCAAAGACCAGCTCTCTAATTTTCCAAACCAGAACCAAACCACATTCAAAAAAACCAAACCAAACTCACCGTTTTTGACTTGACCAGTTCGATTTACAGATTTGTCAGTTCCCTTGCTCAGCCCTAGTTATCTCTCATTATAAAATTGTGCTCAGAAGCTTTTCACCAATTTCCTAAATTAAAACTTGACAAGCTACAATATTAAAACACGAGGTTAAATTTAAGCCCAAACATATAGCAAGGCAGTGACTCTGTATACATGACCATAATGCTCTCCTTAGGTCCTAGAACAGAAGTACCCAGATTACATGCAAGAAATTTATTTCAAGAAAACGGAATACAGAGGTTTAATTCACATCCATAGTAGTCTGCTTCCTCCTGACTCTGTATACATGACCATAATGCTCTCCTTAACTCGCATACCTGAAAAACATATTGTTGATTTCTTCAATTCACAAAAATTAACACATTAATCAAAAGTAACTATTCAGTCTGATTTAAGAAACAAAGATCAACTCCTACAGAACATCCCATAAATAGAGCACAACCCTAGTTAATAACAAGGTCAAACTATAACATTAAGCCTGCAAGACATGAAGAATGAAAAAGGTCCAGCAAACAGTACAAGCACGGTCAAGAATTTGATACGGATTAGATGAAACAATCAAATTCGACAGATATCTCCATACCACTCCCTCTCCGAACCATCCTCCAAAATAGCGAAAGGCACCACTATTTCTCATACAACCCCAGTACAAGTTCAAAGAATGTCATCATCAACTAATGAGTAAACCTCACATATAATAAAGCAGTATTGCTAGGGTTGTGTAATCATGAGCATGGCCCAGCCAAAATGAGTAAATTACATCAAAGCCTTGAAAATATCATTCCAGTCTCTCACACGGCACCCAAAAAAACTGAGAAAAAGAAAGACCCCTGGTCACTGCAGCAAAAGCCAATATTTTACATACAAAATTTTCTTCCCAACTAAAAAGTCTGCTTTTGTTTCATTATCATTATTTTTTATTCATTTTTGGTCCCAGTATATGTGTTTAACATCGAATCTTATCTTTTAGACAGTCTCAAGCCCGGCAATAGGACTTGGAGTACATTGACAGCCACAGCCAGCATAAACAACAATATTCACACAATAAACCTGAATACTGATTTTTCTTTTTCAATTTTTCACTCCCAGCATCATGGGAAAAAGTGCTATTTACTATCAAACTACATAAGACTTGCATCACCTGCTTGAACAAAATATGAATTAAATAATTAGAATGAGATTTTCAACTGCAGTTAATACATGCACTAAGCACACTGTTACAAAAACCACTGATTATTGGAACCCAATAAACATAAATAAACTGGCAGTGGAAAAGCCTGCTCTATTCCCTTGATAGCATGTCACAAGATTCAATAAAATGATGCAACTCCTACAAAATGAACGGCACACCAACACAGTGAATACATGAAATTTTCTTTCCCAATGTAGTGCTCATAATTAAAAACAACGCTCAATTAGTACACATTAAATTGAAGAATACGTAACATGTAAAAAGCTTTTATAATCTCACCAACTAGTTAACCATATGTAAAGACCCACTGCTTTTTCTTGGAAATCATTTCAAAATAAGTTACTCCTTTGGGAAAAATTCACACCTAGACGTAGCTGACATGATAATTGATAATACATTAATCTTGTGAAATAACACCATTCTGAAAATTTTGAGTTAATATGCTGCGGCTGGGTGGTGGCACTGGATTTAAAAATTAATGTCTTATCAAAGAAGAACAAGTAAATAAACAATACAGAAGAATATTCATTCTTCAAGGAAAACGTTCACCTGGCAAGAGTACAATTAGATACATCAGTGTCGTAAAAATGCTTTAACACCAACTCAACTACTTTTTCTTCCTACCACCACCAGCCTTAGGCTTTTTGTTACTAGATTCCTTCTCAGCCTTCTCAGTTGTTTCCTGTCATTTGTGTGAGCAAAAAGATGAAAATTGTCAATGAGCTATAGTGCAGCAATAAAAGCACAAACTGATTCCACGTTTTCAAAACAAATTTTGCAAGAATATAATGAATACAAGTGACGCAAACAAGGGGAAGAAAAAAGCTGCATAATTCTAAAGAAATTGTAATGAGAGATAATGAAATGAAACGTAATTGGGACATAAGCTGGGGACTTTTTTTTCCTTTTCTTTGTTAGGAAGAAAAACAAAAGAACAAGGAGAATTGGCTTTTTCGCTCTGCATACTATGCTCCCTCTGAAAATGGGTAGAGAGGAAAGAGCTCCCTCCTTTTTTAACTTTTTCCCCACGAAAAAAATAAAAAATAAAAAATAAATCTTCCTTAAATAGGTATAATGGTGGAATACAAATAGGGAAAATTGCATTTTAGTGGGAACAACTCAAAATAGTTGCACTTTCATGGAGGTGCAAGTGGAAAGGCGTCACATGCCACAGCATTCACATGCATCGGGCACCGACCAACTTACACCTCTATAAAATAGCAATTATTTTAAATTGTTCCACCAAAATGAATTTTTCCCCCAAATTATTATCAAAAATAAAAGAATAGGCAACTTCCTTTCTCTTGGGATACCTTTTCTATCCCTTCTACCAGTCCTTCCATTATCCATCATACCAAACAAAGCATAAAAAATGCAAAAACCCCCAACCCCACTCCTATAATAGTGCTGAGATAATGATGGCTACTATACTAAGAACAAGTTCATTTTAACTTTTCATGAAAATATTGAGATTGTGTCACAAATCTAGTGTTGTGACATGAATTACGTTTTAAAAAAATAAAAAATAAAAATAATAAAAACTAATCCACTCGGAAGGTTCTCCAGGATTTTCAGTATCGTGTGACAAAGCAGACCCCTCTTGAAGATGGTGTGGAGCACAAACAACCCAAAGTTGGAGTTGGAAGGCTCAAGTTACCAATGACCTTGGGCATAGAGTGCATTGGAACAAGCATCAAATGCTTCAAAGTTAATTGGCAGTGTAGCAGAACTGGGAATTGTTTAGACCTAGGAAGTATGGGTGTTGATACAACAAAACCTATAAAAAAAAAGAAGGTACGGGTACAGTTCAGCATGTCTGTTACAATAGTTATTTTATGTTCTCTTGTTCTTCTGTTAATATTTACTTGAGTTGAGAGTACGATGATCATATTGCAATATTAGGGTTTGTATATATATTTTGCAGATTTAGAGTTGAATAGACAATTTTTCCAAATATATAAAATTTCTCCCTCTTCTCCTATCTATTCTTTTTCCTCTTAAATCCTAACCCTAAATATCTTCATTTTACATTTTAACATGGTATCAAAGCTATCTATTCTTCATTAGAAAGTGTTCTATAGATTTTGAAGATTTAACAGAGATGACCGAGACGTGCTGATGTCATCATCTATACGATGACATCAGCATGATGTAAGCATTGTACAGACGGGACCTTCAACCTTAGGCTTGAAATTCTCTCTTGAGATTTATGGTGATTTTTGTGAAATTTTTCGATCATCCCCGAAGTGAGTTTTCTATTTTTGAATGTTTTTCGTGATTTTTGGTGCCTCTCTTTGAATCTGGATTTGGGCCTTGTTTGCGCTAGTTCTTCTTGCTAAAATAGAACCTATAGGAGCCGAAACTCCTCCTCTAGTGATATTTGATATTAATTTGTTGTTTTGCTGCTATTGGGTTGATGTTTGGTTCATTTTTTTCCTCACTCTGGTTATTGGGTTGATGTTTGGTTCATTTTTTTCCTCACTCTGGTTCAGAACTAGTTCAGCAGACCTGTTTTTTTATTTCTACCTATTGAAATTTACTATATAGGGTCCAAAATCCTTCTAGCAAAGGATATTTGCTCTTAGGTTGTTGATTCATGTTGGTGGGTTGTTTTGGTTTAATATGGGTCCGAATTTATTTGGCAGACCTATGTTCTCCTCACTCATGTCTATTTTGCCATGGATTCTTGTTTTTTGAGCTAGTTTTGTTGTCTATATTGGTTGTTGTGGGTGTTGGTTGTTGGTTGTTGTGGGGATTAACTATTTGCAAGTATTTTGCTACTTTCGTCCACTTGTGTGGAGTATTTTGTGTGATTGATCAACATGGCTGAGATTGAGGCTAAGGTTATAGCTATGGGTAAGGATGATGACATGTCTAAATTTATCACTACCAAGAAATTGAATGATGACAATTATTTGGCTTGGGCCCATACTGTCAAAATTTTCTAACGTGGCAAGGAGTCATGCTTCCTTAGCGAACTCCCTCCTACTATTGATGATAAAGCTTATGATGATTGGTGTATTGAGAATTCCTATGTTATGGGTTGGATTTGGCATAGTCTGGAACCACATGTTGCTACTACCATGGAATTTTGTGATACCTCTAAGGAAATTTGGGACTCTCTTACTGAATATTTTTCGAATCAGAATAATGTCTCTCGGATCTATGAGTTATATGAGCATATTTTTGCTATGCACCAATTTGACTGGTCCCTTCCCGATTATTTTAAGACTTTGTGGGATCAGTTATTGCAGCATCGACCCTTCACTACTGATGTGAACAGAAGCAATATTGGGAAGAGTTTATGATAGCTTCTTTATTCTTCAGCTTAGATCATGAATTGCAAGGGTTCAATGATCAGATTCTTGCCATTGAGAATTTATCATCTGTTGCTAATGTCTATTCTCGATTATTACATTCTTCATTGGGACAGGCATAACCCACCTCTGGGTCCTCTACTTTGTCATCTTCTACATTGGTCTCTAGTAGTGGTGATCGTGGGCCTATTCGCGGGGGTTTTCATGGCCCGTTTGGTCAACGGGGCTCTTATTCCAGTTCGCGGGGTTCTCGTGGAGGTGGTTCCCGTGGTGGTGGCTCTCGTGGTGGTTTCTGTGGTGGAGGTAGTAGTGGACCTGGTTCTCACACATGTGATCGCAAGTGTACTCATTGTGGTTTCCAAGGCCATACTGAACCTTGGTGTTTGCAGAAGTATGGCAAACCTGACCATGTACATCATGTTATAGATGCTCCATCCTCACAGTCATCCTTGTTTTCCACTGGTTCTATTGCTTCTCCGATTGATTCTCATGAGACACTACTTAGATTAGTGAGCTTACTGCTCTTATCTAATCTCTCTGGCCTAGTCTACCTTCATCCACTACTGCTACTATGGCTAATTCAAGTGATATTGCATGTATGGCTAAGTCTACTCAAACCTTGGCTCCTAGACTCTTTTGCTAGTTCCCATATCTTTGGTAATTCCTCTCTTTTTGATACTCTTAGGCATTTGATCATACTATTATACTTGATGGATCTTCGACCTATCAGTGGTCAAGGTCCTTTTCACTCCACTCCATCCATTTCCTTACCTTATGGTCTATATGTTCCTAAATTTCCATTTAATTTGCTTTCTATTAGCCAATGGACTCAAGCTCTCCACTGTTCGATAACTTTTTCTCCCACTTCATGTGTTTTGTAGGACCTCCAGACGAAGAGGATGATTGGTTCGGAACATGAGAAGGATGGCTTATACTTTTTGGACATTGAGACCTCTTTTCATCCTCTATCTACTGTGTTGAGTGCTACTGTATCTCCTCTTCAGTAGTATTTTCACTTGGGTCATCCCTCCTTGGCCAAGCTTAAGTTACTTGTTCCTAGTTTAAGTCATGTTTCTCAGATTGAGTGCGAAGACTGTCAATTTGGGAAGCATCACCATAGTTTTTTTCCTAGTCGTGGTGGTAGTCGTGTGTCTAAGTCGTTTGTTCTTGTCCATACAGATATCTAGGATCCTTCTAGAACTCTCACTGCCACAGCTTGCTTGGTTCCATTTTTCCAAAAACACTTTTCAGAAAATTATACTTTCTTATTTTCCGTATTTTTTTGTTTTTACTGAATTTTTTTCATATTTTAAGTAATTTTTTTATTTTTTAGACACACCCAACATAAATACAACTAAAAAGTAAAAAATTTGTAAAAAAATCTTTTAAAAATTCACTAAATACCAAAAATACAAAAAAAAAATACAAGAATTCAGTACATTTTTTGTATTTTTATGTATTTATTAATTTTTTTAAGTATTTTTTTACAAATTTTTTACTTTTTAGATACATCTAAGTAAGATGCACCTAAAAAAGTAAAAAAAAATGTTTAAAATTTTAAAAATATTCACTAAAAACAAAAAATTACGAAAATCAAAAAACTTAATCCAGAAAACTCAAACCAAACACACTGAATGGTTTTTTTTTTTTTTTTTTTTTTTTTTTTTATTTTGTTATTTTTGTGGATGATTACTCTCGGATGACTTGGTTGTTTTTAATGAAACAAAGATTTGATTTACCTTCTACCATCTCTAAGTTTTATAATGAAATTTTTACTCAATTTAGGAAAAGTATTAAGACATTTTAGTCTGATAATGCCTTAGAATATGTGCAGTCTACTATGACTACCTTTTGTGATGCTCGTGGTATTATTCATCAAACTAGTTGTTCTCATACATCTCAAAATAATGTTGCGGAGCGAAAACACCGCTATTTGTTAGATATTGCTTGCACAGGGGTTGTTTGGGATGACCTAAATAAGTACACTTTTTGTCTTTTTAAGAAAAGATGTACAGAAAAGTAGAGAGGTGATGTGATGAAAAAAAGATAAAAAGATAAAAAGATGGATTATTTTGTGTATGCCAAACTTAATCTTAATGTGCATGTCCCCTAACAATTTTGGGGCGATGTTCTCACTGTTTATTTTCTTATTAACCGCATGCCCTCTAGTGTAGTACACACGTCCCCCTATTCTCAGTCATATCCCACATCGTCTCCATTTCCCCTGTCGCCTCATGTTTTTGGTTGGGTGGCCTTTGTCCACTTGACCTCGGTTTGGATAAGTTATCTCTCCGTGCTCGCAAGTGCTTGTTTTTAGGCTATTCTCATACTCAAAAAGGATATTGGTGTTATCATCTTGAGTCAC